TTATTGAACTTCAATTCTGTACACAGAAATCTGATCAAACATTAATGCCTAAACTAACATTTTGACTTTAGTTGTGAGTAAAGTCACTAAAATAAGCAAAATACGTAATGTTTTGGGTTAATCTATAGATGTAAGTGAAGTAAGGACCATGAGGTATTTTATATATTTATATATTTATATATCGTTTTATATACTAAATTGGGAAATACATTTTACGATGAAATTATCAATGCTCTGTCTGTCTCAACAGTGCCAAACACTGGGTAAATGTTTTCAGTCTCGTTGAAGTCAGTGTTAAAAGAGAAGATATGTATTCTTTTAACTGCATCATAGAAAGAGACATGGCCCTCCTCTATGTCCAGATAAACTCCGACCCTAGAGGGTGTCGGCAGGTTGACTTTAGTGACTGGTTCAGTCAGAGCCATCAAAGTTCCCAGTTGCAAGCGCAGATTCCAGTACCCTGTTTTTGTGTTCATTGTGACATAGCCATTCCGAGGGGCAGATTCCTTTACAACTCCTAGCCTCCACTCATGTTTCTTCCTCACATCTACCTCCCAGTAATGTCTACCCGTGTTATAACCCTCTTCAGCTTGGACACACGTCCAGCCATCAAATTTAGAACGTTTCCATTGGAACCCTTTCCAAGATTCATGACCATATTTTTTTGCTTTCAAATATTTTCCATCTTCAGAGACCAGGAGATCTGGGTTGGCTGTGTTTGGGTCCAGAATTACATCAGCTTCAAGGACAAAAGGAAAAGGAATTGCATTGAATCCTACACACATATATGTCTTGATAATGAAAGCTCGAATTATATCAGTTGAGCTTTACCTGTTGATTTTGTTATCCAATTCCAAACTGCAAAAATGAAAGTACATTGAATTAAACCTGGCTGGAAATGTATGCTAAACTGACAAATATTTTTTATTTGATTTTTTTCTATTTTACCAAAAATGTAAAGGACAAATTAAAAGGAAAACTATGATTTTATGAAGATCAGTGAGTCTAAAGAAAATACCTGTGTTAGGAATCCGTAATCCAACTACAGATGAGGAGAAAAGACAAGAAGAAAAAACCTTGACATAACCTTTTACACATATGTTCGAATGCATTTTCTATAATTATTCTCTGAGATGTGTATATAAGTGCTGCATATAAAGACTAAAGTAATCTTCACCTGTGATTTTGGATCTCTGTTTACTCCTTACCCACAGTCTGGGGACGGAATCCTCCTTACATTCAAAAGAGAAATATTTTAAAACAATAAAACCACAAGGAACGTCTTTGTACCCTACACTACATTTTTAAGAGTGTGGTAGTGTGGTATGTTGGGGGGCCCTCTGTGTCGCTTGCGTTTTCCTTCAGACAAGACAGACTGGAGCTGGTGCTGCCGTGGCCAATCAGAATTGGCATGTTTTTACACTTACTTCAGACACCAGTCACACTGAAGGTGTTCAGATAGCAATAGCATCAACACCATGATGCAGCATCATTCTGGGGAACTGGGTTATATAGGGTCACATAGCCCTAAGATCTTATTTTAGCTGTACAAAAACAGTTGTGCTGCTTGATATTGCCTATTTTTATTTATTGAATAAGTGGAAGCTGTTTGTGCAGTTGAAGCATTGTTTATACTTTTGCCTCTACACCGCGAACCTGCTGACTGTGCGCACTCCTCCCTAAACGGATGTGGTTTTTAACACTTGCTTGACACTTTTTACGTTATATAATGTTAAATGCTATTTAAATTAATTCTAATTTTAAAATTTACATTTTAGATAAACTTTTTAATTTGATTAAACTATATACAACAAAATAAACTTTACATGAAATAAATATAAAAAGTTTTTATATTTTGGGGGGGGGGGGTTGTATTTCCTACAGGGCAGGGGAAAGGAAGAGGTGGTATGCAAAATGGAAACGGAAGTTTCTAAGCAGTTGTACACATCTAAATGATTCAGAAAAGGTCCAGATAGATTTAAGCCTATATGGCCAATTTCACATGTATTTTGTGTATTTTTCAAAATACAAGTACTGTATTTGTATTTAAATACATTTTTCCACACAGTATTTATGCCAATCTCTGATAATAGCTAATATGAAACAGACGTCTTGCACATTCACGGATAGCTTACTTTCGGGTTACAAAATAAGGTGGATACAACACTGCATTGTGACTCCAATGTGATTGCCAATTAATAAAAAATACTACTGTAAAATCAAATAAATATTTAAAAAAAAAAATTGTATAAGATTAATGTATAAATATGTTATAAAAATGTATAATTCATGACATTTATTGAAGGCTTATAACATTAGTTAAAATCTCATGTGTAAATCATTTATATACGTTCAGTTAAAAATAAAATATTGAAAAGCCAAGAACTACATGGACTACAGTTATACAGGCATACTTGTATCTTTTGGTTTCTTCAACTTTAAATTTCATTATAAGATCAACTTTTGTATTCTTTACCTCAGAGCATTCTGACTGTAGAACAGCCCATACCATCCAGTCCATTACTGGAAGCATGCTGGACTCTCCCTGCTTCCACTCTTTGTGAAGATCCCTCAGTGTTTCTTCCCATCCCCCCTTTGGACATACTGAGTTCTTGTCAACAGACAAAAATAAATGAATGAGATATATGATTAAATTGTGTGCGTGACAGGAACATGTTTTATCCCCCTGATCTCTGTAAACATACAGGAGCAAATACCTGTTTCAAATCTTTCAGTTTCCAAAACCAGTCAGACAAGATTTTTTTTGCTTTGTTAAATTTCATTTCACTTGACAACTGCTCAGAGGAGGTCTGTTGTTTTTACAGGAAACAAAACAGAAGAAACGAAAGAGAAAGTAAATAAATATTATTGACAACTGTGGTAAAATAACATGTTGATGTTAATTAGAGTTATTATATTATTTTCCCTGTTCCACTGAGTTTTAACCAGGCTTGTTGCTACTTTGCTCCAGGATGGTTGAAACAAAAACTTACAATAAATGAAGAAATTTTTAGTACTTATCACTTCTCGCTTTATGGCATGGCGGTTAGGACATGCTATCACAGGAAATAATCTTTAAACAGGAAATTTCTTAAAACCTTCATCATAAAAATATGAATCCAAACCTCTTTCTTGTCCATTTGTTTTGTCTTTATGTTCTCAAGATCTTTTGCCCACTGCAAAATATAATACTGTTGTTCTTCATGTTCTTTGTTACTTCCTTTATTTTTAATCTTTCGAGTCATCAAGGATAACTTCTTGGACTGTGGGCATAATGTAGATAATTTGAACTTCTGATAAATTCATATTAAATTCATATTGTAATGCCAAATGTTTACCTGTACCACTCTGTCCAGTTCAGCAGCCAGTTCTCTGATAATGTACACTGACTCCTCAAGAGATAGGTCATCTTCTTGCTCAATACAAGTGGTGGCTGGTATTTTGAACCACTGCAAAACGTTTTTTTTTTTTAGTCGATAGTTTTAGCTTAGATATAATTAATAACACTTTAAATTACATCATGTGTTTACCTGGTAAAAGACCTTCCCAAGTTGGTGGATTATTTTAACAGCATACTGTCAGGAAAAACATGCCCAAAACATTTATTTCACCACCCTCAAAAACATGCTGAAACTAACTACAAGGTATTTTGGTAATGTTTAAAATAAAAGATGTTTGAATTTTTACTTTATGAGATTATATACCTGTGATGGCTGAGCACTCAGATTTGGCTTGATAACTGGAAATGACGCAGAAGCTCTTGCATTCTTCTTTATGTGTGGCTCGTGGAGACTAATGTCACTTAAAGTAATTCCAGTGCTTTTGTCTTCTGCAACATTTATAGACATTCTGTGAATTTAGCAGTTGCAGGAACTGAAACAGTACAGTGATTGCCATAGTGGTACAGCGATTCTGAACTATGAACACTGAGTGATGTTAACAAATTTGCTTGACACATGCCACACAGTAATGCATTAACAGGAATACTTTTGAATGCATCTGTTCCACTATTCCAAATTTCTGCCATACAAAAATTTTTTCAGAAATTTGTGAAAATTTGCTTTATTTCCTTAGCACTCCAAATATAAGATATGAAAGTAAAATAAAAATCCATACCGGCTGCTGCAAATGCCATATTACATGTATAGCGTAATCCAATAAAAGCTCTTATGTACACATCCTTGACTGTCACTGCAGTTGAAAGATGAGGGGTCGTTGTTGTTGTTGTACAACTGCATATATATCCTACATAGCATATATATCCGCCTTCTCTAAAGTGACACACCCACTGTTTTTTTTGTATGGTCTGTATGAGTTGTAAAGTCTGCATGTGATATTTGCCTTATTATGACATCTATATGTCTGATCAGTGCTATTGTATGCTCTTTTGTTTTGTCCTACATTGCATAACTCAGCTGTATTCTGTTGTCTACACGACGCAAGCCTGAAAAATTACAACAAAAAATTATTTAGTTGTTTTTACAACTAGTCTTGTGATCATTAGAGATTGTTGTTTGGTCAGCACCTAATTTAGGCTAATAGC